GACCATCTGCCAGAGCAGAGATTCACAGGCAGCCCATGGGGAGGACCATGCTGGAGCAGATACCAATGTGGAGGACCCCACAGCGTAGCAAGTAGCTATTTTCTGAAGGAAACTGCAAGGCAATGGAGAGGAGCCATGCAAGAAAGGGTTTTCTTGACAAGAACTGTGGCCCATGGAGGACCCATGCTTGAGCAGGTTTATCCTGAAGGACTTCAGGCCATGGAGTGGACTTAAACTGAAGCAGTTTGTGACAGAGTGCAGTTGGTGTAAAGGACCCACACTGTAGCAGGGGAATGGTGTGGGGATGAAGGAGCAGCAGAGGGGAAGCATTGTGGACTGACTGCAACCCTCTGTACTGCTGGTTGGGGTGGGGGAGTTGGGAATGTAGGAGTGAAGTAGGATCCAGGGAAAAAAAGAGGGAGGGAGGTGTTTTGTCTTTATTTCTCACCTTTCAACTCTATTTTAATTGGTGATAAATTAAATTAATTTTCCCCAGTTTGAGTCTGCTTTGCCTGTGTTGATAATTGGTAAGTGATCTTTCTGTCTCTATCTGACCCATGAGCTTTCTCATCTTCCTTTCTCTGCTGGACAGCTAAGGAGGGAGTGAGAGAGCAGCCAGGTGGGTTTCTAGTAGCCAGCCAAGGCTAACCCACCACACTACTGTAAGAACTGTTTAAATACAAAGCTGAGCCTCTACCGAGTTCTTAAAACTGTTTTCTAAACATCAGCTCTCCATAGCAGTTCTAGAATTCTAGATCCCAGCTAGTTGGAGCTGTTTCTCTCTGGCCCTGCAAAGACTTTTTGGGAGACCTACGCTTCTGAAGCACTTTCCTGCTGATTGACTCCTGATAACCGGCTCCATGCTCTTTTTAAGCTGCTCCATAGTCAGTTGCTTGCCAGATTTTGGATCTGGCTTTGAAATGCTGATCTCACTAGCTCAGTAAACACATTTATCATTAGGAATCTTGGAGGCTTAGGAGGAGCAAGTATTTCTTCTGTATCGGATAGCCAGTAATTTGTCAGAATTCTGTGTGCTTAATGCAGGGCCAAACCATGTTCAGAATGTTTCACCACCTTCACTGTACCCAAATTACCTCTTTATTTATTTCTACCAGTCCTGTGTTCTGTCTTTCTCTACCACAGGTGGGTATGCACAGCACAGTTTAACAGTGAACCTTCATCCACTGTCCCTACCTCTTTCCAAAAATATATTAGTATATTTTATTGTTAATAGTAGAGTTGTATTTCTGTGAGATTTTTACATCCTCCTTTCCACCAGTCTACTGCAGAGCAAGAGTTCAGACCACACTGTGTACTGAATTTGGATTTTGAGCTGAAATAATTGCAAGGGCTCTGAAATTAGCACAGATTTTGCCTCCATATTCTTATTGTATAGCTTCTTATTCTTTGCCTTTCTAGGGTGGGCAAGCCCTATTTTCTATGTCCTTAATCATTCTTTTTATGCTTTTATTCTGCAGTATCTTTCTGTTTAAGAGAAGGACTAATAGTGTTCCAGATAATTTTCACTGTTGTTTCATGGAGCAGTTCTAGAATTTGCTGTGTCATTACCACTTTCCATGTATACGTTGTTAGCTATTATGTCAGCAAGCCTGCCCTGCACTGAGCAAGGCATTTCACTCAGCTGTACATACGTAGTGTTCAGGTTCCCTTTCTGAGACCTTCAGATGGTTAATTTGGAAGCACATAAGGCAGTAGGTTACATATTTTTCACCTGTATTCACTGATTTCCATTTGCTTACATTGCATGTTGCTTGCTGTCAAACTGAGAGATTGATCTACTTGATATGGGTCACCCAAAGGTTCCTTGCGCTCCTTTTATTTGTCCTGCCCATAGTACTTTTGCCATCCTGAGGTCTTGTTTCACTGCTCTTTCTTTTTGTCATCATCATTAATGAGAAGTTTTTCTATGGAACCCTGAGGAATATTGTTTTTAAACTTATGTAGTGGTAAAGGTTTAATTCCATTCTTGCTTTCTGCCTTCTAAGAAGCTAATTTTTTTATCCAAAATTGTGTTTGATTTCATATATCCTATGACTCTTTTTGTTTCTTTAGTGGTATAGTTTTTGGAAGTCTACTTAAGTTATACAAGTGTTTCCTGTATTCAGTGCTCCAGTGGCATACTTGAGCCATTCCAGGAGATTTGGAATATCTAATACTAGTATCTATTAGTCGTGTCTAATTCCAAACTAGTAATATCTAATTTCAGGAAGTCAGTAACATCAGAAGAAACTATTTCAGTTTGAAGTTTAAAGAAATACTGTACTTCATGTTTTTCAAACAAACTTTCAGAAATGGATGGAGAACTGTCAGGCCTGGAAATTCATATGTCACACCTACAGCGTTTGAAATATAGAAAGGCATCGTTCATTACTCTCCATGTTCAGAAGCAATGTGTCTTTTCAGGGAGATAATACATGTTGTTAGTAGCTAGTTATCTACATCATCCCTAGATTTCAGAAGGTTTTTATTATCTCAAACTTTTATTGTTTAAACAGTGATTGAGTTTCTTGGAGGTTATAAATTCTTAGACCCTTGTCTAAGAACTGCAGTAGACAGACATCAACCTGATTATGGATCACCAGAACGAATGACAGGGTTATTGTGTTAAATGGCAGAACTACTGAAGATCTTAACTCAGTACTAACTCTGTGCTGGAAATACATACTTAGGAAAAAGTTGACGCTTTGTTACTTTTCTTACAAATCATTCTTCTTTGTCCACCATCAAGCTTTTGAAACCTTGAATAAAGTGGAAGTTTAATGGAGATACATGGGGAATACATGATACTGTTCAGTGGAAGAGTAACAACTCCTCTCTCACTCCTGCAGTGTGGTAGAGAATTGTATTGTGATTATGAAAACCCAATGCAATTATTTTGTTGAGCTTTAAAGGAGAGCAGGTTCTATACAGAGCAGTAAAATCCAAGCAGCTTATGCTGTTGTACTCTTAAAAGTTATCTTTTGTGATACTTGATATAGCTCAAAGCAGTGGAAATGAAATAGGCAGCAAGAACAACAATCAGTAGGAAGGAACAATTTGCTGCTGTGCCTTACTTTCTGTATATGCATTGCAGTTTATCAGCAAGAAGCATGCTGCACTGTTTTTAAATCAAGTGTCTATGACAGCATGGCTGCTTGTAGTTCTGTTGTCAGTTCAAGTCTTAGAACCTGGGCAGAGAGACAGTGTAAATTGTAGGCTACTTTTGCAGATTTTGGTAAGCTGACCTTTGAAGTAATCAGTAACAACAGAAGGAAAAACATGTTTCCTTTTTACCTTGAATTATGTTCAAATTAATATATGAGAAACAGGAGTTACCTTAATACTGTCTGTTACGACAAAATAAATGTCCTAATCACCAAAGCACTATTGCATGTCATCTATCTAATTCTGTGTTATGGTATGTGTATAAGCACAACTCTCTATGTAGCAGAAGCAGTAATGAAAACTAGTATTACTAAATATAGCTAAATAACAACTAAATACAAAAAAAAAAAAGATGAAAATTTTTCCTAGAGATGAGATACCTTTGGCACATATGTATTTTGAAACCAATTCATTTGACTCGTTTGTTTATTAATAACAACATTTGTCTCTTAAAGGCTGAATAATTTTGAAAGACATGTCCATTGATTTATAATGGATATACATTAACATACATATAAATAATTTGGCAGATGTTTTTTGAACAAACTTCACCAGTTAACATTTTTACTAATTTAACATATTTACTAATGGGAAATACTAATCAGATATGCAGGTGTTAAATGCCTAAGGGCTATTTCTACACTAATTTCATTTGTTCAGGATAAGAAAAAATGAGTTAATGTATTTTCTATTTTGATACATGTTAAATTTTTTAAAAGTTATATATGATTGCCTTTAGTTCTCTGGGAAATGCATGGAGGGTAAATCAGGTATGTGTTTTTTAAGAAACTGGATGCATAACATAATCATGGATTGTGAACTTTGCTTCAGAAATAATTCAGAGCAGAATGTTAACTTCTGTAAGGTCTGCATCTCATTTGCTGCTAATAAGGAGTATTATATGGTCAGTGAGACAAAGGATTACAGGTGAAAACAGGACAGCAGATGGTCTGAGGTCACTGAGTGATCCAAGAGATTTTCATTCTAGTCATATCTCAAACAAAAATGATTCCTGCATGGAGTTTCAAAACCTAAAAGCATTTTTCAAAATTCAAAGCTTTCAGTGAGTCTTTCAGTCTCTCATTTTTAAGACACTTGTCTTGAGTCTTAGAACCTGTTTTGCAGATGATAGATGTGAAATGAATTTGGTAAGGCACTGAAGACCAAATCTGGAAAGGAATTTAGGTCAATTTCCTAAATCTTATAGGAGATGGGCTACTAAATATCTTAACAGAACTTGTCTTTAAACAGCATAATAAAAATGACATATGGAAATAAATGGGGAAAAAAACCCTAGTATGTGTTTTGTGCAGAGTTTAGGTAATACAGAATTAATCAGTGGCATATATTAAGCTGAAGGATACATTTCGTTAATTATCTGCTTAGTTAATATGTATTTTTTTAATTAAAAAAAATCATAAAATAGGTGAAATTAGCACAAAGGATCAACTTAAAGTGGAATTGGTTGTCCTAGCACATGTATTACCTAACTTTTTTTTTTGGTTGGCTTTCTAACGAAAACCTTATTTTAATGAGATTTTAAATGCAATTGCACTGTGGATAATAGGTATGATAGTGTAGGTATTCAGAAAGCTGAGAAACTAAAATTAATATAGTGTCATGCAACCCTTTTCTTCGTTCATGATGAATTTTATTATACTTTTACTAGCACTATTCTTACTAGTGCAAATAAATCAAGGAACAGGTATCATACTGTGTGTGTAAATATCACTGCCTAGTCTTCAAATGCTTGAAACTGCTTTTTGCTGTTCCACTGTTTAAATAAATCACTCTTTGAAGTACTGAGCACATCTCTTTTGCAAACTTCACAAAATGTTTTTTTTTCTTCCCTGTTTCAGCTGTCATTTGGATGTTGATATGTAAAGCAAAATGGCAAAAATCAACACCCAGCACTCCTACCCCGGTACACACAGGCTGTCTGTCAGAACTACTGATGACGATGTTGCCAGGATTGAAAATGGCTGCATCAGGTAATATATTCCTTTCATCAAAGTCAAGAGGACAGATTGCTGCATAGTTTGTGGTATTGCACTAACTCTGCATTGTGGGAATGTTACATCAAGGTATTGTTGACCCAGTGCACTTAACTGACTTACCAATGTATATCCAAAGTAGAGAAGATACAGCAATGGGAAGGTTGTCATGACTTCCAGTTTTGGAATCTGTATTACCTCAGGAATAAAGCCCATTTTTACAGCACAGGAAATTACACCAACTCATTAAAGAGAAAACTCTTTCTCAAGTCACCATGCCGATAGCAAGGTCTGTGGTTCCCCACAGAGACTCTGTGGGATTTGGAGAAAAAAGGATCCTCCCAGTGCCATGCAGTGAAAAGCTGTAATAGGGAACATCTGTGGTGTATAAAGAATAACAACATTTTCTTACCGGATTTTCAGAGTCTCTTTGTATGGTGGAACTGTAACAGTTCTTTTACATTCATCTTTCTCTATTTTGATAGTTTTAATGTGGCTTTTAAAATGTGCCACTGAGCTTGCACTTAGATTTTACATAGTACCAGTCATTTGTCTAGTCTAAGCAAACCTTGTTAGGCCTGCAGGGAGGTGTACAGCACCTGTACAGACTGGAAAAAGTGTTCTGCTTTTGACTTGTTGCGGTCACCCACCTCTGCTATGTGGACCTTGTCAGACTCTCTTGTTCAAATGTGTACCCAGACTAGAGCACTTAGAATCCCACTGGACAGATAGGACTGTCTGGGTTCCTGTGTTATTATAATTTTGGATTGCACGCCCCTAGCATATAATATAGGTGGGATCCTTGTGCTGTTTGGACATAGAATGATAGAATAGTTAGGGTTGGAAAGCACCTTAAGATCACCTAGTTCCATCTCCCTGCCATGAGCAGGGACATCTCACACTAGATCATGGCGCCCAAGTCTCTGTCCAGTCTGGCCTTGAACACTGCCAGGGATGGAGCATTTACCAGATTTTTGGGCAATCTGTTCCAGTGCCTCACCACCCTCACAGGGAAGAACTTCTTCCTTATATCTAACCTGAAATTCCCCTGTGTAAGTTCAAAGGTCCTTGTTTAAGGTCCTTTTTTTCCTTTCTGCTTTGCTTGCATGATAGCTTCTGTCATGTAGGTGTACCTACACTAGTGAAAATGCTTTTATCTTGCACAGTATGGCTTGCTTGAATTAGTTATACCACCCCATGATCTCCTTAGGGAGATTTATAAGAGCTGTGTCCCTTTGTGTCCCTTTGTCTCTGTTTACAGTCATATCTCAGGAGCAGGAAAAAGCATATCAAAATGTTAATACAGCCTCTGTGTATCCTTTTTTAAATGTCTTTTTTTTTTGTAGAGGATATAAGCGATTGGCAGCTCACAGAATGGCATTACTGTCAGGGATTTGGGAGTGTAGTAGTAAAGGTTTAAATGTAGAATTAAATCACTGCAGTCATCTGCAGTTTCAGAGGCAGTGATTTGCTTATGACAGAGGGACTGAAATATGAATCACACTTTATCATGATGATGATGGTCTTGAAGAGTCATTTATTTAAAAGAAAGTTAGGTGTTAGCAGTATTAATTACAGTTCATAGATGAGTAAAAAGCTACAATCATACTCTGCAAGAGATATATTTAAGGTTTTTGTATTGCTGAAGTGATTTCTAGTAGGTGTATACAATACCTTTTTAATACCACTCAAAGAATTTTGATACATGTCTTTTTAATTCAGATTTGTTTTAGAATATGTCTGTATTGAAAGATAAGATCAAAGCCAGAATTTTAGCTATTTTTTGACTTGTATCAAGATATGACTATAGGCATTGGGGGAAAAAAAAAACCCAAACCAGGTTTTCTGGAGTAGCAGCATTTCTCCTTTATCTTCCTCCAGCTTCTGTTGGCTATAGTTCAACAAAGCAATTAAGCGCACTACTTATTTCTCATTAAAGTCAGTGGACGTTAAATTTATGCTTAATGCTAAGGATATGTTTAGGTGCTTTTCTTCTGTGGAATGAAGTATTATCAAGGAAAAGCGTTCACTGCAATAGTTAACAGAAAGCTACTACTGCTCTTTAAACTGTCATTCTCAATTACGATGAAGTCGGTGAATCCTGAGCCCATATTCTTACAGTGTAGTGTGCTATAAAGTTACTCCATTTTGTTAAAACAAAACCCAACATAACAAAAGATATCTCAAGAATCTTCATTTTTAAAATCCAGGCTCTGTATAGCAACACCTCAAGTAGGACAGGCAGCGCATTAGCTTGTAGACCACAAGCTAATGATACTTTATCTATCAAAAAATCAGAACTAGGATTCAGCTGTACCTTGTAGATATCTGTATTTCAGTATGAATGAATTGAATATGAGCAGGTGTCTTAAGTTCTTACTGTCATCAGTGGAGATGTAGTCGGTACTAATAGTGGCACCTGGAGAACTGTTCAGCTTACCCTGAGGCTCAATAGCTCTTCAGGCTTGTTTGGCTCTGTTGATTATGAGAGGTATTTAGTTGCCTAAAATAGGCATCTAAAACTGATATATGATAGAGGACCTGAAGCATTTTGCTAGGGCTAGTGGGTTTGATGTGAGACCAGTGTGCTCTGGAGGGGTCAGATAAAGTATTTTGAGGTATTCCAAATGGTACTAGACTCCTATATAGAGGCAACTGAATCAAGCTTTAGGATGGCAATTGACTGTAATAGGAACTTAGATGCTCAGCTTATATTAGACACCCTAATTTAGGTCACTGCCATCTGAAGTCAGATCCTGCACTTCTGGCTTATAGTTGTTATTCAAAAGGGCTTCAGCATTTCCTGTTTAACTGATCAGAACTTCAAAGCAGTTACTACTAAATGAAAATTCTGGATTATTTGCATGCATTTTAGATGAAAATGGTCTTCTAGTGTTTCTAGAGGTAAAATAAGGCAAGGCAAGGGATGGGTACAGAGTAGATGTTGGTGTAAATATCCTTCCCAGAGCTTACTTCTAGATGCCATGAAAGCTAGGAATAAATTGGGCTTTAGAGAGCTGAAGAGGCATAGAGTAGGAACCTCAGTGTCAGGGAGTTTTCTGTAAGACACAGTGGTGTCGCTACCGCCAGGGAAATAACATATTTTTCAGCGTAAGTGGAGGAAGCACAATCATCTGCTGATGTTTCTGCTTTGTAACCCGCTATTTCATGGCATACTGTATTTTCTCTTCTCTTGTTGATGTCAGACTGTGTAACAACCTTGGATAGTAATGGCAATGGTTACTGTTTGGCAAACATGATAATGGAGTCCAGAGGGGAATGCATCTGTCTTTGTGAAAATAAAGTTAATGCTGTGCCACATGCACTGAGGGTGTTACATCAAAAGCCCCATCTGTAACTGTACCTCTGCATCAATATAAAGCCAACTGACAAAGCCTCTTGTATTATCTGAGCAGGGTTCAGGAAACTCATGACTGAGTATGTGAGTTATTATAATAGGGAGTTATAATGATGGAAGGAAGAGTTCATTTTAGATTTACTTTTTGACTTGCATTTGTGTGAATTAAAGTGGAATGTGTTTGTAATTGCTGTGTAATATTGAACAGGAGCTTTCATAGGAGTTGCCTGTAGGAGTCCTGTGTGTATTTTTTTCTGATCCTGTTGCAAATACACAGAAGCTGTATTTGCAAAAGTGGAATACAGGCACTTTAGCACTGTTTCCACAAAATGATTTTGGTTTTACCAAGTGGTATACGCATGTTATTCATATAAATTTTTTTTATGAGATAAACCTGAATTTAATTACAAATGGTTATATTTGGTTATAACATAAACCTAGTTGTCGAAATTCTTGGTGCACATATAGAATAATCAGAAGATTCTTTTTAAAAACAGTCAAGCAACCAAAATAAAAACATAGACTAAAGATTTCACTACAGAATTCCTACAGAATATAATTTTTTCAGTGAGTGTGAGTGACCAGAGAGTAATTTAAATAATTTGAAATTTTTAATTGATTTTGTAGGAGTCTAGATCAGATTGGAAGATGTTCATACCAGGTCACATAAGCATGCAGTTCTCTTTCACCTAGTTGAAAACATTTCTTCAACTTACTTCTGGCTCTGGACACCAAAGGCCATGCCCTGGATGGAAAACATTAGGTTTTAGATGGTGGCATTAAGTGCTTTGTAGTTACTGCTTGCAAGAGGACAGAGAGTTGGTAAAACTTTCGATGTTACAGACACACGGAGTATGATAAGCCTGTGTAGGTATAGTGGAGAACAGCTTTCCACACTGATGAGGAGTACAGAGTTGATGATCATGGGCACAAAGCTCTTAACAGATGATGTACTTGGCAAGTATGACTGTGCTGATAAGTGGAGCTAGTAGAACAGTATTACTTTTGGTACCTGATCTAGCTTATTTAGAACTCATGCAGGTATCTCTAAATGATTCTGCATTGCCTTTCTGCGCATTTACTCAAAATGAGCTGAACTTTTAATTCTCAGCCTTTTATTTGTTGTCAGCAGGTGCCCAAGCAGAGTCAGTAAGAAGGGAGACCGGCACTCCTTTCTTTTGCAAAAGTTTACAAAAAGAAATAAGAAGGGTATTTAACAGTGCATTTTGGATAGCAATTTTCAACTGCTGCTTGGAGGGTAACCAGCACAGTTCTATCAAAATAGAACATTGCATGGTGTACATTTTATTTCGCTATGCTTATACAGGCTAATAAAATTGAAATATATCTCCCTCTGAGACTTTAGATTGGACTGATTTCCTGGGCCTGTGTAGAGTTTTCTTAGACTGATGAAGAATGCATTCTTATAATCTTTTTTTGTATTTTAGTTTCTACTTGAATACTTGAATAAAATACTAGAGTACTTTAATACATGTTTACTTTGTTTTCAGTATTATTGTTCATTTGTTTATTTTCTGACCCTTATAATTAACAACTTACATTTAGGGTAAATTATAACAGTTTAATGTACAGTCACTAAAAGCAGTTGCATTACTGCATTTGAGCTACTCCTCATTACTGGAGTCAGTAATTGAACCCAGACTTTGAATCTATTCAAATATGAAATAAAACATTCTGGCTTAAGTATCCATGAAAACATGTCTGTTTCTGCAAAATACTTTCTTTTTTTTTTTTTTTCACATCTGAATTGTGACACTCAAAATTATTTTTAAAGAACTTGAACTATCTTCTTTTAAAAATATATTTTCAGGACTGAAAAGTAGTAATAATTGGTAAGTAAGCACAGAAGTAGCAATATTAGAATTTACTGCTGTCTAAGATCACATAAAATGTGTATTTATCTGTAAAAAGGAATAGAAGCGCTTAAACCAGCCATAGCAGTGCAGTCTAAAAGAATGACTAGTTCAGTATTCCTGCTTCAGCAGGGCTGTAGGCAGATGCTTCAGGAAAAAGGGAAAAAACAAGTGGGCAAACTGCAAGTATTTGCAATGCACTTCCCTCTAATATTGTCCCAGCATCCAGCTCAGGAGATTTCTTGAGCTGAATGCAGACTCCGTGTATCTGGTAATCCGTAATGGATTTCTGTTCCATTAGTTTGTTCATTCTCCCCTAGAAGCCATGATAACTTTGATGTTCACAGTATTCTCAGCACCCACAAAATAAACTAGGTTATAAAATTGTCAATACTAATCAGTATCTATTGGTGTTTTCTAATTAGAATAGAAGAAGAAAACAGTTGACAAGTTGAGAATTCTGAGACTCCAATGATATTCCTCCTGTAGCATGGTTCTTTGTGTAGAAATAATAAGTTTTAATTCTCTGTTTGTCAGTTTCTCAGCTATGAGTATATACAAAACTCAGCTGCCAATTATCCTTTTGTGGGCATTCAAAATGTTGCCAGTTCTTATGAAGATACTGCAAAGTATCATTATAGTCAGTGTTTTCCTGGCAATACAGATTAACAGACTCATGTGAGAGTTCTTGTTTGCATTACAAAGGCAGAAGAAGTGATCCTTAATGGATGTGATGAAGTTTCATAAAAGTGAATACTGAAGAATATAAAAGGCAGAGAAAACACCAAGAGTCTTATACAAAAATTCAGAGTGATCCCTGGTAATGTCCAGGTTCCAGTGAAGTCAATTTCAAAACTCCATGGAAAGATGAGGCTAAAATCTAATGTCATTTTCTCAAATCTTAATTATTTTGGTGCTAATAGGTAGTCTTACAATGGTGGGAACTCACAGGAGTTGGCATGACACTGCATGTGGCATGGCACTGCAAGTAGCTTAACTTTACAATCACTGTGCAGTTGCGTGGAACTGGGCTGTTTACAGTGTTTTTCATGTGTGGCAAATAGCCTCATGTCATTGCTGCTCTGAGGTTCTGTAGCCTGTTTTGCTATGCAATAAGTGATGTGTCTGTTAATGAAGTGAGCAGCATTAGGCCTGCAGCTGTGCAGCTGGCTGGTAAGAACAGCAGTGTCAGTGCTCAGGACTAACTACTGTAAAATCACCATGTTGCCTTACAGTCCAAGCTGGAGTGAAAGCAAAAAGACATGTGCGTTTGCTTTGAGTCACAAATAGGAACTGCACTGGTACAAATTCCAGACTGTTAATCCCCAAAAATGTCTAGGAGAACAGCACTGAAAAAAGCAGTGGGCAGTCACTTTAAACCCCTGCAGGGATAAACTCCATGAGCTTGCTGGAATGGATGGCAGAGCCTCCACTGACTTCATTTCATGTTGGATGGCTCCAGGGAAGTAGGAATATAGGCTTAGCTCTATGTTTGTCAAGTGTATGCCATATTACTAGGAAGGGGACCATTTGTTGCATTGCTTCCTGATGTAGAGGTGGAAAGAATCAGGTGGGGGGAAGTCTGCTGTATTATTATGCTGAAATTATTAAACAAATAACTTGCTTTTGCAGAACCCATTCACTGTGTGATGATGTGTCTTCAGAACTGCAGAGAGTCGTTTCTGTGGGGGGAAGACATGCATCTGAGTCCCAGACGAGCTCATTCGCAGGCAGGGGAGCAATGGCAAGGTAACATGCTAATATAATTTCCAGCATTAAATTTGTTGAAAGAGATTGATCACAATTTGGAGGCAAAGTAAGAAGAACCATCACTTTCCAAAGAAAATGGATGCAATACCTCTGAAGAAAGACTTTAAAAAGTAACAGAAGCTGCTTTAGACCTTGATTCTGAACTCATTGCTTACTCATTCCTAGTACAAACCTTAGTATCCTTGAGATGCTGAATGAGCTCACATACGTTAGTCTGAACACAAAGAAGTAAAGCATTTTTTACATGATCTGATCTAAAATATATTGAATGCTGAGGAAATGCATGATATGAGGCCTGTCTGTATGGTTTCCTTTTGAACTTGGACAGAAAATATTTTCAGGATATGTAATGTGAATTTGTGGCTAGAGAAAAAGATGTATAAAGATACCATGATAAATGAATTACATTATATCCTCTAATTCTGTCAGTCCAGGATTCCCCTATCATCACATGTCAGAAGCTTGTCAGAAGTTAACTGCCCCAGCTACTTTGTTTGCCCCCACTTCAAAAGAATATTCTGTTGCTTCTGCTTCTCAATGATGTGTGAGATACTTTCCTGATCCACTGGAAAAGGTGATGTATGAAATTGCTGGAAGTGACTGGTTTCATGCAGTTAATGCCTGAAGTTTAATTTTGTGGCAGGTGGAGAAGTGGAGAAAAATCCTCCTGGGCTACTCTTTGTGGGGACAGTTTAAGGCATCTGATGATCTTGTCTGGTTCAGTCAATGCTGTATGTCTGTTCCATGCAGGCTATCACGATTTGTCGTATCTGTGAGGTCATGGGCTACAAGACATACACACCATGAAGACCAAAGACCTGATTCTTTCTTAGAACGTATCCAAGGGCCAGAGTTCATAGAGGTGTCCACTCGGCAAAGTAACATCCGCTCCTTTCTGGGCATCCGTGAGCAGCCTGGGGGAGTAAACAGGTAAGAAGATGGTTTATACTTTAAACAAAGACGTCCAAGGTTATGGTGTTTTCTTGGTGATTAGGATGGAAGTTTTATTTTAAGAAGAGGTTAAGGAGCTTAGCACAGGAGCTAACAGAGTATCTAATGCTGCCCAGGAATCTTCACATAACTCAAGTATTACGGCTTTCAGCACACTTTCTCTTTCCCCCTCAAATACACTGTGGCAAGAATGGGTTCTCAGAACTGGAATTTTATGATATTATCTATGTATCTCTTCTAAGGATGAATGCATTTTTATTCGAAGAATCTAACTGAAGAATGCTAACTGTGGCTTTTTAGGACATTAATGTTATGCACATTATCTTCAAGTGTTAGGAAACTCCAAACCAGCAGTTGTGCAAAATGAGCCATTGCTTTGTTACACCTACTCAGGAGTTCAGCTGTTAACATTAAAGAAGGCTTCTGATGCAGAAATAAGAAAATATTCTGGCTGCCAACTTAATATAATGGCACATACTCATTAGTATGTGCTAATTAGCACACTCATTAGCACATTGGCACTTACCTAGTCTTTGGAGTGGAAGGCAGGTTCAGTCTTAACCTTAAAATTTCTCCAACAAAGCAACAGAGGCTTGGAAGAGAAAACTTTGTGTTTACTGTCTTTTGATTTGATGAATTCTCATTACTTTATAAATACATGTTCTAAATTTAACTCCAGCTGAAAGAAGAAAATGAAGTCCCAAGACAAGAGTTGACTTTCTGTTTGGCATTATGCTTTGAAGCATAGACTCCCATATTTTTTTGCATAGCTGAAGATTGTTAGGCAAGCAAGTATTAAGTTTTTTTGTTTCAAAATCTCAGCTGGCAATTCAGATTAAAGCAAGAACCTTTGAAGGGCTGTGCGTGATACATGTTATCTTCATCTGTTGTGGTCCAGCATAGCTTACTATCTTCACTTACCTACCCGTTAGAAAATTAGCCCAAAGGCACGTTTTATTGAATTAGCCAGATTGTTGTATGATTTTTTCAGCTGTTGGATCAGTAGCAACTACAGATTTAAAGTAGTTAGAAATGACAGCATTGATCATGGACCAACAAACCTCTGCATAAGGCTCTTAGGAGGAATGAATTTGAGAGCATCCATCCTTGCCTTCTGCGTTTTACACTAAGTGTCAGTAACTCCACAGCAGTGGTAGGTATGCTGTTACTTATCCACAAGCCTTGACAGTGCATCTGTGGAGGAGACTTGAAAGGATTGAAGAAAGCTCAAAATAATGGCCAAATGAGTATAGGGCTAAAAACTGTGAGAATGCATGTTGCTGTGCACTTATATGCCTGTGAACAAGCTTTGGACATCAGATGTGGTCACAAATGTGTATGCCAAGCACATGGTAAAAAGAAACTGGTGCCTTGAAATACTTATGCAAAGGGGCTTATCGTGGCAGTCAAAGTTGACCTTTCTAATCTCATCAGTGCAGAAGTGAGAAGCTAGTAAGTCAGTCCCTCATGTCAGTAAACACGTGTATGAAATACCAATAGTCTTTACAGTCTTTAATGTGTTTTATTTAACTTGCTGCAGCCGCTGGCCCTTGGCCAGGTTTAATGTCAACTATAGCAACAACACTAATGAAGAGTAAGTATTGATAACTTCCAAACACCTTTAGACTACTAGCTCCTTCTCTTTTTCCCTTTCCAACCTAGTAACATTTGTAGTATAAACTCCTTACCTTTTCCTAAGTCTTTCCTAAGAATATAGTTTGATTATGAAGAAAGATTAGTTTTCTTTGAATGAAAAGCATCCTTTGTGTCTCCTGTGAACTTCTTTTTGTCTGAAGTTACTCTTACCTCTCAAGGAGTGAATTTGATGAAGCATTTAGTCCCTACCTCCTCTAGTTCACCTGGCTGATTTTGCTGCATTGCCAATTGGTTTATTAATTATTCAGTTTTTAAATGAGATGCGTGTATTAATTTTCTAATAGTGATTTTTCTCTTTTAACATACTAGTCCTTCTTGCAAATCAAGTGCCCCAAAAATTTCAGGTTGTCAAATGAGAAGCGGATACTGATCAGGATACCAAGAAAACACTCAGTGTGTACAGTCTAAATGAAAACTAACTGTCTTTTTAAGATGTATGCTTCAGTTCAACTGATTGGTTGGTATAGATGTAAAGAGATTGACAGGTAACATAATCAGGCTTGCATTGCAACAGAAGCTCTGACAGAAGCTAACTATCCTTTGGAGTTTATTTTATATATTTGACAAGATCTTTCACAATGTTACACCAAAGAGAATTCTCTGGAATGAAGAACTCTAATTTAGCATCACTCAACACCAATGTTTGTTGCATGTCTTAGACCACAGCTGTCTGAGGACATATCTGCTCTGTAGCATCCAACAGCAGATCTGTTCTCAGTCATGGTGATAGGTTTTTTTTTTTTTTTATTATTTTTTATTGATTTCCAGAGGAAAACAAAAATTAAAAATAATCATAATAGTTTCTGATTATGTCAGAAAAACTTAAAGGCAACTCTTGGTTTTCTCTACAAATAGTTCCACCATGGGCTAGTTCGAACTGTACGTTGAAATGATGCTGCAAACCCAAAAAAATGATGTGCGTATACCTGAACAAGAGGTCTTCTTGCTCCTGAAGCAACTTTTTGGTTTGGTTTGCATAACTTCTATTAAAGAAGAAAATCAGTGTGCAGTGAACAGTGACAGAATGTTCAGAATTTTATTTAGACTGGTATAAAAAAGTGTGAGAAGCCTGGAGCCGAGCCTGCTAGTCAGGGCCCAAAGGGCTGATTAAGATGGAAATACTGCTTTTTTACTCTGTTTCTGACAATGACTTGTGTATCTTGGGCAAAACTTTCATCCTTCCAATGCTTCATTATTTTTAAATGCAGACAACACCTGTGTGTCTACCTGCCTGGCAGTCTGAAACGTACTTGATTTGCAAAGTACTTGACAGATGGGAAATGCAAATGTTGGATCCATTCAAAGATTATGACAGTGTTTTCATATGGGCTGACAAAGACATGTTTTCTAAGTCTGAAGTTGCATGCTCCTTTTAATGTGCTGGAAACACAGAATGGATGCCACTGTACTGCCGTTAAAGAGAACAGTAACAAAACAAGTGCTTTATTAGTTACTGGATTCCAGTTTTCTCAAGAGCACTGGTAAAAAAAAAAAGATGCAGGTTTTTTTTGAAGCTTTTCATTACGTTAAAGACCTAAGAAGTACCTGCAATTGGGGAACTGCAGAACACAGGCTTTTATTATGGCCATCCTGTTCCTCTGAGTGACTCCACCTATAAGTAGGTGGGAGTATGGTAAATATGGAGTTACCACAATAAGGAGATGTGTAGTGGGCCACAGAAATGGAAGAAACTCACTTATGAAACATGCCTGTAGTTGACAGATGAGTTTGTAGATCTCAGAGAAAAAAAAAATTGGCATTAGATGCTGTGTGAGAAAGTGTTTTTTCTCTTTTTAAACACAAAACAGAGGAGGAAGTTTGAATTGTCAAAATATTCCCTCCAAAGTTCACCACCACTAAGACTTCCTGATCAGTTCTCTATCTCAACCTACTTTTCCCTGCATGTCAACATCCACAAATGTACAGTGGCCCTACCCTTTGAAAACTATGTTTACTCATATTTCTTCCTTTCTAGTAGGAATGCCAGACTTTCGAAGTATTGAAGAGCTATGTTAAGGATAACAACAGCAACTGTGACTTGGCCTTCAGATCAGGCACCATGCATAGTAATGTGCAGTGAAATCCTGATGTGTTTTTTAAATAAGAATTAGTTTAGGGGGAAAATTTGAAAAAGAAATCAAAGTTCAGGGGTGTCAGTGGCAGAGAAATAAATACTTGAGTTGCAGTTCTCATTGCCATGTAGAAATCAGCCTTAGTAAGTAAAAACTGTTTCTTTGACTTGAGATGCATGTATAAATAGAAGATCAGTCAGCCCAAAGGTTCTTTTCTCCTCTGCTTATGCTCCATGTTAGTTTAAAAGACCTGTGAGAGGAAATTCAGCTTCATTTAATTGCCATGAAAGCTTCAGACAGTCTCTGTGGGGTTTTGGATCTGCAAAGAATGCTGACAGTTTGGTCAGCCATTTCAAGTTCTTTTATCATTTGATAGATATATTTTTAAATGCCTGAGTTCTATCGAATGAAATAAACTAGAAACATATAAGTAAAATCAACCTGGTACACTGATGTCTGAAGAGATCAAGAAAGTACAAGTAACTAATGCACCGAATCAGCCAGCTGATTACCTGATGTGATAGTGTGGTGGTGTCAGTTTGAGAGGCCTCAGCCAGTAAACCATTTTTACCAGTTGGATCCCTGTCCTCCTCTCTCTGGAGTCTAGTCTAGTTTCCTGTACCTCAGCATCCACCCTCTCCCTTAGCTGCTAGAATATCAGTAATACTGTCAAGCCTTACATTATGTTGTACAGCAAAAAGGAAGAAAAGAAGGAGGTTAAAGAGGAGAAAAAAGAGGAAAAGAAAGAGGAGAAAAAAGAGGAAAAGAAAGAGGAGAAAAAAGAGGAAAAGAAAGAGGAAAAGAAAGATGACAAAAAAGATGATAAAAAAAAGGAAGAGTAAGTATAAAAAATGAATGTGTGTTTGTAATACACCTCCTACACCACAAAGCAAAGTATGGCATTTCATCACAACACTTCCACCACAATTCTTGTTCTGTAGGCCTCAGAATGTTAGCCTGTCAGATCTTTAATATGTTTTTTCCTTTGGAAAGGTGTAGCTGCCTAACAAATTTGTTGCATCTCAAAGGCCTGTGTTTAGGCATGTCATCAACAGCTTCCTAGGCCAGTAAAGAGGAATTCGTCTACTTCTGCTCACTTTGATTTGCTGTTGAAGATCACTTTACTCTGAGGGCTTTTAAAGTCAGTAGCCTGCTTTGCAGATCTGCACAGACTTCTAATTCTTCCAGAATGTCCATAATAATTCAGAAAAGATGAACCAAAATATGGTTTGGACAAAGAGGAAAAGTCTTACCTGTGGAGAATTATAGATTTACTAGTAAGTTTAGTTATTACACTGACTAGCATATTTAATTACTTAATTTGTGCAGTTAATTACTGGTGATCACTAAAGCTTGCTTCTGCTGGTTAGGAGATGCTGTATTTTGCAACTGTCCTGTTTTCAGTGATCCAACAAGATTATTTGAATGCTTTTGACAGAAATGGATCCTGATTTTGTTTTGTTTCCTCCAAAGTTCACCCAAACATAGTACAATTTAGTTATTACTAGTCATATCAGTGATAACATAAAAATATGCATTTGAGTGGACTTTACAGTTAAGGATTATGTTAAGGTACTATACTGCAAGTTTATGTGTATGTATATGGTAGCATGTGCTATGTAGGCATGGGAACATGCAGTTGCTAATCACTCCCAGATGGAATCTGCTTGGTGTCAAGATCTTGATTTTCTTAATCAAAGCTTCATTTGCTTAGCCTTTGCTCTAAGGATTCTCTTTTGGCTCCAATTCCTATGCAGCCAGAGCCTGAGCTTTGCAGAAGCCAAAAGGGTTTAAAACATTTTGGCAAAGAAAACAATCATTTGACGCCTATAAGATACTGTACTCGGTCACATGAAGACCGTATTTCATGGTCACCAGTTTTGAGGTGGTGATCAGTTTTCTAGAGAACATGGCTAAAAACCTGTTGTGAAGATGACAGGTTAAATACTTTTTAGATTAAAGCTGCTTCCTTTGCTAGCATTATCATTTGGACATTCAGGAAGGTTAATGCCAGAAATATACACAAATATGAAATAAATTATCATTACGTTTTAATATATTTACATTTTTGGGGATTAGAAAAAGTCACACAAATACATATGAAGCATTGACCAGTCACATGTTCCCCACACTAGTATAGAGTTCACAGATCATGAAATCACATGTTACTGTTGGAGTAACTTCTGCAGCTGTGGCCCTCACAATCCACTAATACCTATTTCCTTTGATTACATATGACATGCTGCCTCTTCTATATCAACTGTTCTTGTGCTGGGGAAGGCCACTTCTGAGCAAACTCTGCATGTGCCATTAGCCATGCTGCTCTTTAAATCTTTACATTCCAGGCCTGTATGCTTCATTTAGTATCTCTTCATTGTTGTAAGGCTTAGGGAGCCACGACTGTGAATATGTGAACTTTTCTTTTACGTAATAACACGTCTTAGTTCTGGTCACACACTTTATGTGTGTATGCACACACGGAGTCTTACTTGTATAAACATGTATTTCAATGCATAGGTGTTTTACTTAAGTGTGTGGTCATGCAGTCATTTCCAGAACAGAATTTGCCAAAACTATAAAAATTAATCTGCAAAGGAAGGCTCTTTTCTCCTAGTGATGGGCCATAGCCTTCTAGCTGGAATAGTAACAAGAAACATTTAACATTTTACTCTTTTTTGGTGGGGGTCATATGCAGAAAAACTCTGGTTTCCAGCTGTGGCAGTGTGAATATCTCTGGTTTTCTTTCCACTCATACTTACTTTTTCCAAAGTTAAGTCAAGCAAATAAATAGAGCACTTCAGATGGGATGAAGCTAATATTTAGAATCTCATCTGGAGCTGCCTGCGTGGACACCTTCTCTTTTTTGGCAGCTGTCAGTTCATTGTGAGATAAGCAGCCTCCAGAAGAGGGAGGTCCAGCAGGGTCACTTTATCACATATCCAGTGTAAACCTGCATGTTTTACTTTCCAGGAAGAAAAAAGAAATCTTTGTGATAGATCCTTCAAGCAATATTTACTACAACTGGCTGACCATAATTGCAGCACCTGTGTTCTATAACTGGTGTATGCTAGTGTGCAGGTATGGATTTAATTTAATAATAATTTTAGGTTTCAAATGTAGTGTCTCATGTTTCCTATGTAAATCATCCTCTTATCTTCCTGCGGTATTTTTTGGGTGCCTTACCTAGAAGAGTTACAGTCCATATACCCTTAGGGATATATGGTATATATGCTGCTAGGAATAGATGGCCGGTATTTTATCTTTTTCTCACAATCAATGTGTTGTAACTTGCAACGAGCATCCTCATGTGCGCCGGCTGTGGCCTCTGTGTGCCACCTGCTGGCTAGATGCAGAGATGGGCTTTGGTCACTGTAGGCTCAGCAGCCGCTGCTAGAGATAGGTCTTCTAGTCATCCAATAGAGAATAGAAGAGAGAGGTCTGGGCAGTGTTGGGCCACTTAAAAACACCAGGCATCTATAGATGCTTGAGGGGCAGGAAGATTTTACTCGAATATTTATTTTCCACTGTAAAAGGTAGAAAACAGTTTGAGTCAATGTAATGGAGTCCTGTGGAAATGGTTAATTTAGGCTGTGTCAGATGACCGGGAGAGATGAGGGTGTCTTGTCACTCAGAAACAAATCTTGTATTTGGGAATCATCTTAATGGAGATATGTATCCCGTGAAATCTGATGCATGTTTAATTGTAATCTGAAATGAAATCTGATGCAATGTTTAATTGTGTGGCATATATGTGTTCAAGTTTTGTTCCTGGCCTGAACACCTTTGAATTCTAAATGATCCCAGTGTCTGTTTAAACACAGCTTTAGTGTGCAGGTGTCTGGGCATGGAGATATGCTGCCTGTAATTTTTCAGTGCCAGTAATGTGCGATAACACATTGCAAGTACTTTGCTTATGCAGTTGGTGTAATTTTTGTGTGTGTGTCTTTGTTTCTTTAGAGCCTGTTTTGATGAGCTACAAGAGGACCACATTAAATTATGGCTGTTTTTGGATTATGGCTCTGATATCATTTATATTTTTGACACATTTGTGAGATTCAGAACAGGTGAGTCCTTCTGGGGTTTTGCAGTGTAAAAACAACATAGATATAAAGGCTGGAAACAGAAATTCCTCGTAGGATCTGACCAGTGTAATATCCTGTCTACAGCAGAACTCAGCAGTGGGGACTTTGGGAAGATGAAGTGTCTCTCCAGCTTGGATTGTTTTAAGGCTGGGCATCCCAACACCTGCAATTCACTTCTCTCTAAATTCAGTTCTATCAGTGCTTGATAGGCATGCCAAATGCTGACTGAACAGCCACTGTAACAGGCTGGCTGAGGGAAGGGAGAATAAGGCACTTTCCATGTCACAGTCATTCTCTGTGTGATATATTTCTTGTGTTCATTAAATGGAGCAAGAAACCAATTGCACCGTACAAGTGCTGCTTTCCTAGTCAAGCTGTGCAGCATCCTGCTCAGAAGTGATTATTGAGTCAGTCAAGCGCAAGACCTGGCACCCATCTGAGCCTCTGGTCTGCAATCTTCTGCCTGCAACCAGCAGTGCTGCTCTTCTGCCACCAGCTGTATTTCCTGCAGCCTCTGTGAGATCCTGGCTGAGGCTCCCACTGCCTGGTGGTGTTACAGAGTTAACCCAGGAAGGTGGTGGTTTGGGATTATCTCCAGCACCTGTGCTCAGGTCTTGCCTTCCTCAAGAAAGCGTGAACCTAAAGGATCTGTGAAGTCTGTGCCATGTCACATGTGAAATGGTTCTCCAGCTTCCTGTTCCTGTTTCTGTAGACCAGACAGGCTGAGAAAATTTCATACTAGAGCCCAGCTGATACAGATTCTAGCCTTATAAGGATATCTGTTTTAAACTAAGTAAGGTCATAGCATAGGCCTAAGCAATGCCATACAGTGATCCATATCATTAAATTGCTACAATAGCCCTTGAGGTACTTTGGTGGGTGCAGTTTGGTCTGTGACAGCTAGCGCTCCCTCAGGGCAGTGTCTGGACATAGCTGGAAGGACAGCAGAGGTTGGGTGTTGTTCATGATGTTATTCTTGGAGGAGACTGTGAGAGCTTGCATGTGAATAGAAGCTGTCACAGTAGCTGGTCTCAGGGCCAGAAAACGTTTCTTGGCTTGTTCTACTTTCTGGTATGGACTCAGCCCCCAAAAGTCCCTTGAAGAGGTCCAGAACCACACTGATTTTTATAAAAATGAGAGTTCTTTAAATCTTCCATTTTTACATTTTCTTTTTTCTTTTTTTTTTTTTTTAATCACGTTGACAGCCTGACATTAATTATGGTTTGTGAAAAGTTGTAAATATAAGACAGAGGCTAAAAATGCTGTCATGCTGGGAAGGGCACAACTCATTGCAAGCCAGATCCTTAAACTTAGCAAGTACCTTGTTCAATACGAAAGTCTGTTTCAGACAGCAGCCTAAATCACAGGACTGCTGTATTTGTGGAGGGATGGAGGGGTTTTATCTTCTTTGTGTAGTTGAAATGTCAGCTCTGCCAACTAGATTCCTCTTCTGCAGTTACATTTGTTATTGCAATGGGAGAAAAAAAGAGCAGAAATTGGGCATATCCAGGCAATGCAAATCACACATTTCCACAGTCTGTCCAGACAATGACTGGCTATTAAAGTGTGGTTAGAAGGTCAGCTTTGCAGGCCTGGATTGGAACTGCAGAATTGCCAGAGACTTGAACGCATCAGTGTAGGTGTCTGCTGCAGTTTCAGGCACTCAAATAAGGAAGTCACTTCTTTTGGGTGCTGAAATCTTCAACTCTCTTAACAACCCCACCTGGCTCTGTGCCTGCTGCCTTTTCCTGTAAGTCTGCAGGGTCTATCTGCCCTGGGGACAGAGGTCATGGAAGCCCTCGGGAAAGAGTGCGACTCCTTGCTGTCTGAAGGCAGAGATTGGCTTTGAACTGTGATCTAGGTAACCCTGCAACTACTATGATCTGCCTAGCTTCTCTGTGGTACAGTCCTGTCCAGCTGCAGGGCCAGTTTTGCTGCATTTCACCTATTTGGTGACTGTGCACTATGAAGCAGAAAAGATTCATGTCTCAGCAGCTGATCGAGTTTAGCATACTCTGCATTTTGATGCTTTTAAAAGGTTTTAATATAGGACTTCAGTTCTGTGAGGGGACAAAAAAGAGTTGAGGGCTTTTATTTCCCTTCATGAGGGAGGTGTTTTCAAATTTAATTGTGAGCCAAAATTCATCTGCCTGGTCAACTTTTCTGTTTAGTTGCATAATTCTGTTAATAAGGGCATATTTGAGCAGCTTTTCCAGCAGCTTTCTGGGAGGTAATACATTCATCGCATAGGAGCTACTTCCATTTGTAGTCACCATCAGTTTGCAGACAGCGAAAGACAGATGCACACATATACGAGGCAACTGTAGAGATAGGCACACTTTCCAGAAACACAGCTGTGATGTGTAGGCCACAAAGACATGCAGCTTGGTTTTCCTCTGCTTAGTAACATTGGACATAAGAGGAAAAGCATGGCTCAGGGAGGTGAAAACGGGGTTTCTTTATCTCAAGGGTATCTATATTGCTTGGAACATATTGTTTCCAACAATCCATTATGCCTACTTCTTCTTGGTATGTATTTAAAAATATTCCACTCTGATTTTACACACGACTGCTTGGCACTTGCTTAATTTTAGTTATGACTCATGCCAATGATTCACAAAACAAAATGACACATTTGAATCTCCCTTTTCTTTTTGCAAACATACCTTAAAGCAAAAGATAACAGCTGTCCCAGAGCAGAGTGGGAACCTGCAGGGAGCATGGTAATCATAGAGTAATTGCTCTTCATCATTATATATCAGCTTTGAAGCTTCATTGAAATATCTGCATTTGCAATGAAATATGTTTCAGTAAATGAATTCACAGTGTACCAGCGTCTGTGTGCAGATCAGTACAAGTGTTGATCTTCTCAGGTATCTGCAGTGTAAGTCAGTCAGTACTGTCGATGGCATTTGTATTCTAACAAGTAAAATATGTACTTTTATTCTTTGAAGGCTTCCTTGAACAAGGCTTGCTAGTTCAGGATGAAAAGAAATTGCGAGATCACTATACCAAAACTTTGCAGTTCAAACTGGATGTGCTGTCTGTTGTGCCAACAGACGTGGCATATCTGAAGTTTGGTTTGAACTACCCTGAGCTGCGATTTAACCGCTTGCTGAGGATTTCTCGGCTGTTTGAGTTTTTTGACCGTACTGAAACCAGGACAAATTATCCCAATATGTTCCGTATTGGAAACCTTGTCTTATACATTCTTATCATCATCCACTGGAACGCGTGTATATACTTTGCAATTTCAAAGCTCATCGGATTTGGAACTGACTCTTGGGTCTACCCCAACGTGTCCATCCCAGAGTACGGGCGCCTGTCTAGAAAGTACATTTACAGTCTGTACTGGTCAACACTCACGCTAACAACCATCGGAGAAACACCTCCCCCGGTGAAAGATGAAGAGTATCTCTTTGTGGTCATTGACTTCCTGGTGGGTGTCCTGATCTTTGCTACCATTGTCGGTAACGTGGGCTCCATGATTTCCAACATGAATGCCTCCAGGGCAGAGTTCCAGGCCAAAGTGGATTCCATCAAGCAGTACATGCATTTCCGAAAAGTGACAAAGGATTTGGAAGCCAGAGTTATTAAGTGGTTCGATTACCTCTGGACCAACAAGAAAACAGTGGATGAGAAGGAGGTTCTCAAAAATCTGCCTGACAAGTTGAAAGCTGAAATCGCCATCAACGTCCATTTGGATACGCTGAAGAAAGTGCGTATATTCCAGGATTGTGAAGCTGGACTTCTCATTGAGCTGGTGCTGAAACTGAAACCTACAGTCTTCAGTCCTGGGGACTACATTTGCAAAAAGGGAGATATTGGGAGAGAAATGTACATTATTAAAGAGGGAAAACTGGCTGTGGTGGCAGATGACGGCATAACCCAGTTTGTAGTCCTAAGTGATGGCAGCTACTTTGGTGAAATCAGCATCCTAAACATCAAAGGTAGCAAATCTGGCAACAGGAGGACAGCCAACATAAGGAGTATTGGTTATTCTGATTTGTTCTGCTTGTCTAAAGATGATTTAATGGAAGCCCTCACAGAATATCCAGAAGCCAAAAAGGCTCTGGAAGAGAAAGGGCGACAAATTCTGATGAAAGACAATTTAATAGATGAAGAAGCAGCAAAAGCAGGAGCTGACCCAAAAGACTTGGAAGAAAAAGTAGAAAAACTTGAAACAGCTCTGGATACACTGCAGACCAGGTTTGCAAGGCTCTTAGCAGAATACACCTCATCCCAGCAAAAGGTGAAGCAGAGACTGGCCAGAGTAGAAACCCGAGTGAAAAAATACGGTAGTGGCACCCTATCGGTCGGAGAAGCAGAGAGTGAAAAACCTGAGGAGGAGAAAAAGCAGTAATGGAGTATTTGTACTTCCTCATTTATTCAGTGGAGAAGGTTGAAGCCTGTGAAAGCCATAAATGTATGTAAATATGTGTGTGCATACACAGACCTGATTATTTTTATATGAACTCAAGAGAATGGGTTTTAGCATTTTTAACTAAAGCGGTATTTTCTTGTAAATAGAACACTGCCATCTTCTTAGGGGGACACTTGGTCTGGCATTTGGGTACTTTTTTGTACTGGGAGTGGGTTTCTTACAAGTCATGCTCAGAATGTTTACTGTGTGTGGTGTGTGTAGGTCCTGACACATTGTCTCTTCCCATCTCTGTTGTGTTAAGCAGGCGTTGTACTTAAAGCAGAAGGGATTGGGTTTTGTTACAAGCTTCAAAAAATACTGAAAGGGTACATGAATAGCTGTACCTTGCTACCTTAATAGCTGATCAAATGCACAGATGCTCACCTGGGCTTCTCAGAGTCCTTGTCCTTTCACAGTAAAGCATCTGCAGAAGTGGTTGGACTACAGCTAAGCAGCAGTATGTACTTGGCCTGTGCATGTGTATGAAACACCCGTGCACACAGATGCTTTAGTCTGATTATTTCTAATGGGCTGGACTCTACACAAAGGGCTGTGCTAACAAAGTAAGCAGTGCTCATTCATGTCCTTTCTGGCATGGTCTGTGACAGCCTTTGCTGCTCTGCAACTGCTTTACTAAGGGGAGAGAATGGAAGATTCACCCCCCTACCTTTTTCAGCACAGCCACATCTCCACTGGTAAAACCCTTACATGGAAGAGTCCCCAAAAGCTCACTGGTGAGAGGCATCTGTAACAGTATGGCTTCGCTAAACCTGGGCAGAGAACAGAGGCCTCAATTGTGTGCAGCTCCTGTACTTGAGTGAATTCCATCTCAGTAAGTGGTTGGTCTCAGAGGGAGGCTGCTGAGAACCTGCATGGGCTGGCAGGACAGGCTGTCCCTGCCTCCGGGAGCTTTCTCCCCCAGGGGGGTTTCTGTGAACATGGAGAACAAACCCTGTGTTCCATTCCTTCCTCTAGGTCTATGTGTTCTTCCTCTTTATTTCATTTAAGGATGCCTATTCCAGCTCCCTTCACTACATACTGCCAGCTTTACTCTGAACTGCCATGTTTCTGTTAGGGAGAACGAAGGCCACATTTGCTGACAGGAGCCTAGTTGTGCTGGTTGCTATTCTGCTCACTGCACAGCAGACAACAGTCTGGATCTGAGATGAATACACAGGTCCGGTCCACTCAGCCTGCTGTGACAGGCAGGGCAGAACAGTACTGAGGTTTCTTGCTCTATCACATTGCAACCTCAGGATTTACCTCTTAGACACCCCTCTTAGCCTCTCCTACCTCACTGCTTCCAGTTTCTTTCCAGGCTCCCCTCCATCCCTCCCACTGAGAGGATTTCTCTCAATACTCTCCCTGGGAAGATACTGGGTGTCATTTTTCTGTACAGTATTTTTCTGCCGTGTAGCTTTCTCTGTGTTACTTTTATCCTGTGGTACCTCACTGACTGACTTCAGAGATGCATGGAGTAGCAGAGGCTTTCAGCATCTATGCCATGGGGGCTGGATCCTCCAGCACCATTAGGTATTACTTAATTCTTCCCTGTGAGTGGGGTGAGGCACTGGCAGAGGTTGCCCAGAGAAGCTGTGGCTGCCCCATCCCTGGCAGTGTTCAAGGCCAGGTTGGACAGCACTTTGAGCAACCTGGTCTAGTGGAAGGTGTCCCTGCCTATGGCAGGGGGTTGGAATGGGATGAGCTTTGAGGTCCCTTCCAACCCAAACCAGTCTATGGTTCTGTGATTACTATGGGCAGTGCTCTGCCTTTAGCTGTCATCAGCCTTGGCTTAGGAGCCCTAACAGCAAATGGGAAGAGGTGGTCTGTTAGAAAACTGGTGAGAAACCCACAGAGAAGAGGGTGGGTTATGCAGGTGATAGTGAAATGGAGACCATTGCTCTGGTGAGTACAGTTGCTCAGAGTAGGCACTTGTCTCTGGGCAAGCAGCTGTCCCCCTCCTGTTGATACTTTTGGGCCCGGTGAGACAAATCTGACAGTGGCTAAGGAAGAGGGCTTTGCCGGGATGCTGCCAAAGGGACCACCAGGTAGTAGATGCCCACACGCAGGCCATGTCTAAACTCTTATCATCAGCCTAGAAGACAACTAGACTTAGGGATCTACTGTAGGCTGGGCTTAACCTCTGTTACCAAAGTTTCCACTGATTGCAATAAGGGCTTCGGAAAGTAGCTGAGACCTACCTCTGGCCTGTGGAGTTCGGGAGTCCTTCAGCTGCATCTTGTCCTTATTTTCACTATGGCTGCATGGTTCTGAGTTACTGGCTGGGCTTAAACCACAACACAGGGGCTTGAGACAATTAGGGGAGGTAAGAGAGGTGCTTTAGGCAGGGGCTGAGCACCTTCCCCACCCTACACTGAGGAAGGCAGGGTTGAAAGTGGGGCTGGGTTGGTGCTGTAAGCACAGGTAAGTCACAGGCTGCTGAACTTGCAGCTTTCCCCTTGTAACAGGCAGGTACCACATGCACCTGGGGCTGATGTTCACTGTCGTGTTACTCTGGTAGGGTTTCACACTCACTGTCATGTTCTACATCAGTCATCGTTCTCTGTAAATATCTACTTACCTACCCAACATCCTACAGCTGTTCCAGCCTGCTAGGAATATACAGATAGACCTGTTTAAAGTATTACTTACACCAAATTTATACCTGTTAAAAACTCCCACAAACACAAGAATGCTTTGTCATCTGATGGATAGAACAGCTTAATCTATCCATTAAATATGTGTTTGCTCTTCCCTTTTCTGTACTTGTCAGGTTTTCACATGCCAGAAAAAGAGCTATTTTGATGTTATTGGCTTCAGTCACTTGGAAACATAGCTTCTGGCATGATGAAATTGCATCCTTTGACATCTATCATCTCTGTAAGATGCTTTTTCCGCTTCTTTAATGTGGCAGCATGTACATTAAAATATTCTGAGTAACATTCAAGCAACTCTGTGGTTTCTCTTACCCATATCCCTCTGGATTTTAGCCTTTCATGAGACTCTCATCGTGCCACTATTACATTGCCCAGAAAGCTTTAGCTGAACAGAGATCTGAAGCGGCAGAAAACCACGTGGGAATGGCGCTGGTCTCCCCTCAGCATAGGGCAGCTGGCACAACACGGCTTTGGTCCCATGCCCGGTTTTGACACCATTGCTGTGTTTGCAGATGCAACACAGGCACAAGAGCCTTGACCCCCACCCTGCTTCCACAGAGGTGCCAGGCCTCATGGGTGGCAGAGCCACCTGGCTCCTGCCTTCCCTTTCCCCATGCAGGGTGACACAGGAGGGATGGCGCCTTGTCCAGCAGAAATAAATGTGTTGGCAGCACTCTGCTACTTGCACACACACGTGTCACCTGCCAGAAAACAGAGAATGGTTTGGTTGGAAGGACCTTAAAGGTCATCTGGTTCCAACCCCCTGCCACGGGCAGGGACACCTTCCACTAGACCAGGGCCTCGGGCAGTACCTGGCATGGGCTTGCCTGGTCTTTCAACCCACCACAAGAGAAAGCCAGGAAGGAGACAGCTCTTAGCGAGCATTTGAACACATGCCCTGAATTTGCAGACAGGGGTCTCACGGGGACAGCATCCACTTCACACGGGTACGGGAGCCAGCCTGTGCCAAAGGGGTGGCTGTGGGGTGGGAGTCTTGGCCCAAACTGCCTGTGCTGAGTGAAACAGCTGATGGGGAAGGCCAGAGGTTCTTGAACATCTGCTGCAGGTGCAAAAGGAGGGCAAAGCTGGTGAAGCAGCACCACTGTGCTCCAGGTGCTGCTTGGAGCAAGCATTTCCAGGGAAGAAGTGCTTAATTGCATGGCTGCCCCATCCCTGGCAGTGTTCAAGGCCAGGTTGGACGTGGCTTTGAGCAACCTGGCCTAGTGGAAGCTGTCCCTGTCCATGGCAGCGGGGTTAGAACCAGATGATCTTTAAGGTCCCTTCCAACCCAAAGCATTCTGTGATGCTATAAGGCCTTGAGTTATAAGCCCTGCTCCCTAACAGCAAATGATTCAAGCCGTGCTGTTCTACAAAGTGCTCTCCATAGCACCCCATCCTTTTTCCCTTGTTCCCTACTATTATTTTACTTCAACAGATTTTACAGTAGAAAGCTCAGCTCTGGAAAATTCAATGAGCTGGACAACAGAAATGGTGGTGACAGCAAAACATCACATGCCTTTGTACAGACTCCCATACATACAGGCAAGGGTTGGGGTTAGCTTAACTGCAGCTCATTCTGCAGAAAGAGGCCAGGGTTTATTTATTTTCCCTTAAGACATCTGCTTTACAGTTTTATTCCTGCCAAATGTTTACAACCAGACAGGGCTCTGCTTTACATTAAGGAACAAACTGGTCATTTTCCTTTCCCCCATGAAAGCATTAGTGCTTTCTGCTTTAGTGCTTTCTCCAAGACTGTCTGTAGATTGTTGGTTTGAAAGACACGTTCCTGTATCACTGCTGACAGAGGGTTGCACAGCTCAAACCTAGTCCAGGTTGTCCAACAGGATAATACAGTCAGACTGACTAAGGAAGAGCTGTTCTTCATCCTGAAGACTGCGGGATGACAGCGTTTTACTTGGCTTCAGAGTCCTGCAGCACTTCCATTGATGTTTCCATCCTAGAGCACACAGAAAGAATTAAACTGTTGTTTACACAGTTTCAGAAAAACCCTTTACCTATCCCTGAGAGCAAAATGAATTATGCACTAAATGGAGCTGGCAAGTCAACAGGCAGCTGAAACACAAGATTCCAGCTGTGGCACCTTTCTTGGGGGAAGCCATCAACCTGGGAACATCCCTCTCCTTGCAGCCCCAGACACAGCCCAGAGCTCAAGAAGGATGCGCCTTTACAGGGAGGATGGGAAGCCCTGCTCCCTTCCGCTTGGCCTTGGGCAGGTGGCGAAGGACACACACGCAAGCCCTGAGGAGCAACCTCTGGGGCTAAAAATGGTCAGGGCTTTTGTTTCTGAGATTCAGACTTTGCAGCCCGTTTGCAGCTCACAAGTGAACGCCCCTCACAGCTTCACTGTGGAGAACGCAATTCTGCTGCTGTGTTTGCAGCCCAACCCCACTGCGCTCCGGGCAGGGTGGGAAACGAAAGGAAGACCCACGTTACTTAAGCAAAAGCAGTTTCTGCAGCCTCAGGAGCAGGACATGGGGTGGCCTCAGTTCCAAGGATGAGCACAAACATCAGCTTTAGTCCAGAAGCAGCAGTAGTTCTCACTATGAGATCTTCACCAGCTCTACCGTTACTGCTTGGCTTCTGCTGAGAGGACAGGGCACAGTGCCAGTGGCCACAGCTCCCGTGCCATCCCTTGCCATGTTCTCCCAAGAGGCAAAGGACAACATGGTCCAGCTCTGACGGGGACCTGTCTTACCTGTAAGCTGGGGGTAGGTTACTAAAACCAGAAGTGCAGAAACGTGAAAGGAATCTACTAATGGTTACTGTTCTACTTTTCTTTCCTTAACATTTAGAGTGGCTGGTACCAACCTTTCTGTAACAGGGCAACTGAAGAACAGTAACATGGAAAACCAGGAAAGGACTACTGCATTACAGACTGATGGACAGCTTGACAAATAGCTCACGATTTATCAGCTTTTTGGCTGTTTTGATATGTCATTTCTTTAGGCTCCTGGCAAGAGAAAACAACAAAACACAAAACCCCCAAAATCCCCCCCAAACCCAACACCCCTCTCCCCTCCCGTTTCTGTCCTTAACTGCCAGCAGCTGTTTCCCACATCACATTGGAAGGAGTCCCAGCACCCAAGCACCACAGCAGCCACTGCACCCAAGCAACCCCTCCAGGTGGGTATCACACTGAGAGCAGCGGCACTGCCTGCCTTCCCAGGGCAGCAGCTGAAACAGCATTGAAGGATTGCTGGTTTGGGCTCAGCTCACCTCCAGGGCCGAGGAATCGAAGGGACCTTGCTGCAAAAATCTGTGCTTTTTAGGAGAATCAATGCCAGTTGCCCACCGCAATACA